GAGGGGGGGGGAGGGGTGCTAGTGATGGCGCACTCCTCTCCCCCCCGTCTCCCTCGTCCCCTGGTCTGTGTCCAGAGGCGGGAAGGGGGCAGGAGGAGGGAAGTGCAGCTCGTTGACTGGACGGGGGATGCGGTTTAGGCGCCTTGTCGAACGGCGTTCGTGCGGGAAGGGGGTGATTGGTTCGACGGCGGATGTGCGCGAGCCCGTCACATTTGGGAGAAATCGGGCGGTGGTCACCATGATTGGTTGGCGTCGTTGGTTCATGGCTTCGCACCCTGGCCCGGATTAAGCGCCGGCGTGACCAGGGGTGGGCGGTGGGTGGTTGAGAGAGAGTGAGAGAGGGCTTGATTGAAACCGGACCTGTGATTGCATTTTCACATCGTGTGCTTCCGCATCCGCAGGGCACACTTCTTCTTCTTCTTCTCCCTGTTGTTGCTGATGGTTGGTTGGTCGACAATCGAGGTGACGGGCTGGCCGCTCGGGATCCTTCAGCGAGGTGAGAGGTCAAGGTGAGCTGAAGCAGCTGAATGGACGTCCGATGTTTCTTACCTCGGTGAGAGAAAGACAGACCTTGTGAGAGGGCGCACGGCGAAAACGAATCTGCCATCTCATCTTGGGACGGAACCGCCTGGCCCCCGTCGTCCCCCCCCTTCCCTCCGAGACAATGTGCCCACATCACAGAACCGCCGAAGAAGACTGTGATCATGGGCCTGCCTGCCGCGGCGCGCATGGAGCACACAGCGCCCCAACGCAACGCAACGCAGCAGCGCAGCGCACGACGCAACGCAACTTGCAGCAGCGCGACGGAGAGGCACACACAGCTAGGCAAGCAGGCAGGCAAAGCCGCACATACAGCACGTACATGTACAGCACGTACCCTTCCCCTCCTCTTGCGCGAATCGGACGTCGACATGCCGAACGAGCCAGTGTGACGACTTGATCTCTCTTGTGCTTCCGTGCTGCAGCTACTGCTGCTGCGTAGTTTAAGCCCTTTGCTGGCCCCCTCCCCTCTCCCAACCCTGTCTCTGCCTCCCTAGCACGCTCGCTCACTCTGCCGCGCCTTGTCACCGATGTCATGTTGGTGCAAGAGTGCGTTGCTTGCCTTGCTGGCGCCAACGCCAACGTCGACGCCTATGCCAAACGCCCCTCCTCCTCCCCTGCTTCTGTTGCCCTGGCGTCTGTCTGCTCGGGTGAGCTGGTCGAGGCCCAGCAGCGAGGGCACAGAAAAAAAGACAGGGGCCTCGAGCACCTGACCGACTCTGGCAGCGAGATATGACCGGGGCCGCTGCATTGAGGAAGGGGGTTGTGATTGGGTCGACCGAAATCTCCGATGAACCCTTTTCTTTCTCCCAGACACGGTTCACGAGAGCCCGGAAACCTACCCGTCGAAGCTCCTGAAACGAGAGCCAAGCATAGGGCGGTCGCTGAAACGACCAGAGCTCGTGATGTGTCGAAATGTGCTGCATCATCACCAGCCCGGCAAGCTGGGGATGCCCACGCGCTTCGCTTCATGGAAGCTTTTGCTTCTGCAAAAACCTTCAACCACTCACAGCTGCAGCGCATCTCGAGGATTGTTGCTATTCTTGGCCCAAGCTCGTTTCACATTGCCCCTGCGACAATCTTGCCGGGGTCGACCATCATTTGCCCACGAGGGAAACAGGACGAATCGAAGGCCGCCCTGGGGGGCGACCTCATCTGTCAGAACCGCGCGTTCAACCATGGTAGTTTCTGAAACGAGATGAAGAAAGTCTCGAAGCATCGCCACCGTTCGTGTCTTGTCATGTCACTCGCCCGCCGTGCATAGGAACACTGCCGCAATCTGCCAGCCGCTGTCACACGCGATGGCCATGCAACGCAACCGACTGGTCAATGCCCAGGTTATCCTCACGCCTCAGTCGACCACCTTGATCTCGCGCGCGACAGCATTGCAGAGCGCGACCCTGACGCCGGCGCCCGTCAGCACGTGAATCCACAACCGCTGCGTATCGCTGAGACGGTCGTTCGCGCTCTTGACCTCGGCGAACATGCACTCCTTCTGGGGCTCGGTCCGCCAGAGGATCAGGTCTGGGATGCCACCTCCGCGCTGGCGGTACTCTTGCGCCATCACCTTGCAGATTGTGGACAGTGCGCTGCTGTTGAAGCAGTCGACGAGCTCGACCAAATCTTCCACGTCGTAATCCCAGTTCAAGCCCACGACGCATGTCCGCCTGTCCCGCTCTCGCTCATTTACCTGCCGGATGATGCGCTCTGCGGCCCCGTTGGCAATCTCCACCAGCCGGTGGTTGATCTCGGAAGCGCGTGTCGGATAGAAAGAGTCGGTGTGCAAGTCGAGCGGGCATGTCTGATACGCCGTCTGAAATACGTTCGGAACGTAGAGGAATAGAACGTCGTAAAAGAGGTAGGCGAACAGTGTGCGGATGATGCCTCCTTCGGCATGGTATCCCTTCCAGCCCTTGCTGCGGTATGAGCTCAGGCACATCTCCTCAACACTGCATTCACCCCCGTCCTCCTCTTCATCTATCCAATGCGTCTTGGTGCTGGCCTGACGTCCATTCTTGCCAATGGGGTCTACCTCCTTCAGCTGCACACCCTCCACCGTGTGCTCCTCTGGGGCCTTCAGCCGGATGTGACCGAAATCGTGCTGCTCACTAAATGGGATGCGAAGCTGCTTCTCGATCTTAACTAGGCGCTTCTGCAAGTCGTAGTGAAAGATGACGTGGCAGTCATTGTCCTGGAGTCCGGCTTCGCATGTCGACATGGCGATTCTCTTCCAGTGCCTCTTCTGCTTTTCTAGATTTTCAGACGCGGGAGCCGGGTCGAGTGCATGCATGTAGTGTTCTTCCAGTAGAGCTTTTCGTTGATACCAGCTCCCGCGCCGCGCCGGATGGAACAGATTCTGATCGAGCAGTTCGGTCAGGAGGCCATGCTCCTTCTTGTGCTCCTTCATGCGGCCGAGGACCGATGTAGCCTTGTGGATGATGCGTGTATACGAATGCACCGGCGTGAATCGCCTCAGATAGGCTCCTTCCCCTGGATCGTAGACTGTGGCTTCTTTGATAAGCTCTTCCTGAATGAGCACCTGCCATCGAGGGTAAATCCTGTCGAAGATATCAATAACCTTGCTGAAGCCTTCTTTTCCGGGTGATCCATGAAATTCTAAGATTTGGTCGACCTCCGATTCGAGACGAACACCCGCCTCGAACTCTAGGAGATGTCTCCTTGACTTGAAGATATTTGACGTTCGACAAACAATGTACTCTGGAAAGTTGCGTCGGGCAATCTTGGCAAGAATGATGGTTGTCAATGACTTTTCGGTCCATTCTGTTGACCGATAAAAGACAAGATGTACCCTCTCGAACAACTTGTACGTCAAGGGCGACAGTCGGATACAGCGGCCTGTGATCGCCAGGATCTTGTCCAAGAAATGCTGAGCCCGATTCGAGTCTTGTTTCGTCAAGGTCGGTGGTAATCGAGAGGCTACCGGCGAGATGTCTTTGACGGGCGATGACTCCTTGCTACTGCGACTCCCACTCGCTGACCTCTGCAGGCCGACAGACATAAGCCCTGCCTGTTGATAGCTCATGCGACAGAGTGCCTTGACGAGCCCTGCTTTGTTCTTTCCCTGAACCTTGGCTTCCTTGCACAAAGACTTGAGCTCTTCAAGTCCCAGTAGTGTCGCAGCTTCGTCCACCGTTGTAATGTGTTCCTCAGAGCTGTCGGCAAATGTGAAGTCGTCGCCGAGACCAAACTCTTCAAGAGCAACACCTTTCACCGGGTCGTCTTGTGAGCTTGGAGCTTCTTCTGGAAGCTCTCTTGTTTCCTGAAGGCTTGCAATGGCTGTGTCCATGTGCGAGATATCACAATGATACCCGAGTCGGTCGGAACGATGCCACGCAGACGTCTTACGGAGGAAAAGACGAACGTAGCTGATGTAAGAATTAGCTTGGACGTCCTTGAATGATGAAGGAGGTGGCTCACAGGTATTGGCTCTGGTAGTCAAGGAGCCTCCATTGCTCAAAAACAGTCCGTTCTCTCATGTCGAACAGGTGAGACTCGTCTTCCAACACTGTATCCAGTGCCAGATTGAAAGCATCAACGTAAATGGAGCTTTTACCCTTGACCCACTGAGGCTTTTCGCCTACATCTGAGGACTGAGATGCCTTGTATAACTCATATCTTTCGATAGCTTCCTTGTCTGTCTCGACTGGTGGTAATGCATCCTCAATGGCGGGATGGTGATGTCGAGTCTCCCGACTCTCCGATTCTACATCTTCCTCATGTGAAGCAACTGCGAGTTTTTCATCAGAGTCCTGGTTGAAGCAGCCGACAGCATCTGTTGCAGCTGTGTGATCTGGAGCGCCATCCTCAACCTTAGGCTTCTTCATGGGAGGCTCCTCGGGTGAGGGCGACTTTGGCCGGAGCAATTCAGGTTCAGAGGCGAGGGCCCGAGGTCGCCGTTGAACAAAGTCATCCATAATGGTTGCTCAGATCCGTCATCTTAGCCGATCAAGCTGTGCGCATGGATCTTATAATGTTTGCTTGATGGAGATGGCAAATTCACGCGACACGCACAGGCTGGCCGTGGCGATGTGCAGCGTCACAGGGACGCGAGGTCAGCTGACTTCGCGCTGTGTCACAGCACAATAGCGCTAGAAGCATAGCCCCTCTACAAGCCATGTCACACAACGAGGAGCCTACGTTGAGTGACGGCACGCAACAAGGCTAGCATCTTCCCTTCGACTTCATGAAGGCCTGAGACTGGTTCAACAGCCTAACGACAACACGATATACACTCAGGTGGCGAGCGACGAATTGACAACAGTCCTTACTTTATCAACTCCAACAGAACCACATTGCCGCCTGTCCACTCAGACCCATTCAATCTCATCATCAGGCTTGCAACATCGATTGGCAAACAATTTCGACACACTACAATCAGCAACGTTGACTTTTGAGCAATCTGCATCCACACAAACGTTATCTCAATCAACTACAGCACAATGTCAGACACACTGAACGCTGCGGACACCCCGCAAACATCCGCCGACCAACCTGTTGCAGATGCTCCCGCGCCTACTCCCGCACATGTGCTCGCATCTGTGGATGTTCCCGACGATGGAACAAAGATAGCCATTGAGGAACCCGTGGCAGCCAGAGAGCTCGCCCCCACTCCCTCAACAGATCTGACGTCAACCTTGGAGACGGCTGCCGCTACTGCTGATGTGCTGATGCCCGATGCGCCCACTGGCGACAACGCGCCGGTAAGGGGTGCCAACTACTTGCGATGCCCTGCATCCTAGCTGACTCTGTGATCCCTCGTAGTCGCCCGCTCCTGCTGCCCAATCCTTCACCCCTACTGTTGCTAGCCCCATGCCTCGCACGGCTACACCCAGTCGCACCGTCAATGGCAACCACGACAAGGAGCCTGGCAGCTCCCGCGCTGGCTCGGTCCATCCTGACCCAGGGTTCACAATGCCTGACAAGGCTGCTTCTCACGGCGATCCCGTCCGCCAGTATCTCAACAACAATGTCACGACTGTGCTGCTTGACGGCATGAAACAGATTGCGAAAGACAAGTGAGTCGCTACTCTGAAAAACCCATCTAGTTGGTGTTGCTGACGCTGCACTAGACCCAAGGACCCTCTTCGCGTTCTGGGCAATTACCTCATCCAGCGATCTAAGGAACTCGAGCAGACAGACAACTAGGTGTTGCGACATACAAGGCTGTCATAGTCGAGGCGGGCGCAAAGATATGAGAAGAAGGAAGGCGGCAATCAATGGTAGCATGGACCAGACGGGCGGCGAGGTCGGCAAATGGCTGTCGAACAGGCGTTCCAAGGGGGGGATCAATAGGGGCGCCGAGCATTTATGTCACGCGCGAGAGATACCCATAGGCATATGTTGACTTGAGGGCGGCATTATTGAATTGAGGTGCCGAGAATCGTTTTGCTTTCATTTCAACGAAGTCTCTGACTATCATGATCGTCGTGACGACCAGAAGGAGCAAGCTGCGCTGCCGAAAATGCAGTTTCCTAACCCCAACTCCATGACCACCGTAATTTTTCCTCCGCTGGGACGTTCGTCTGGACCCGTTGTCCGGGCCTCCACTCGCGAGCAGCTCATCGCTTAAGCGACGATGGTGCTGGCAGTGGCGCTCTCGTACCTCCAGGTGGGGGGCAGGACGCCGACGGTCTTGTAGTAGCGGGCAAGACGGTGGACACGCGACTCGATGAGAATGAGGCGGAACTTGGAGTCCTTGTCCTTGCGGTTGCGCTCGAGGTGCTTGCGGACGGCGACGGCCTTAGATGACATGTTAATATTGCACTCCGGGTCGCAATGTGCGGACGGAGGGGGTTGGCTTACCTTCTTGATGAGCATGTAAAGATCCTCAGGAAGATCGGGGGCGAGGCCTGTAGTGATCACTCTGTCAGCCGAGACCGTACAGAGGCATAGTTTTTGTTTGCGTTTCGGGAGAACGACGCAAGGTCGTCTCCTCGCGAACGGTTTGATGTTTGCTTTTTTCTTATTCCCACGTCCATTGCTGGACGTTCATCGCACCGACGCTTCACACTGCTATTGGGGTCGTACCGTTGGACTTCAGGATGCGGAGGATCTTGTTTCCTGTGCCGTCTTTATTAGCGAATGTCTTGTCACGTTACCGGGCTTCTTCTCAAGCGCAACGTACCGGTGACAATCTTCACCTGGGCAATGCCCTGGGAGTCACGGAGGACAACACCAATCTGCGAGGGGGTGGCACCCTTCTTGGCCAGCTTGCAGATCTGGTCGACGACCTGGTCGGGGTTGGTCTTGAGCCACGAGGGCGCGGTGCGCGAGTAGGGGATAGCAGAGGAGCTGATGCCCTTGCCCTTGCTGTGCATTCTACCCATTTTGGCGGCTGTCGGTGGTCGTTGCTGGAGACGGCGGTTGGGTCGTGTTTGCTAGTCGTTCAGTCGCTAGAGGGGGAGGAAGAGAAAAGTTGCTGCGCGGCCTGCGATTGCAATGGTGGAGTGGAGGGTCGGCCGTCCGATTGTGTGAGGAGTTTTCTCGGTTAATTAGGGCCACCCCGAGTTGGGCTCTCGCGTTGTGGATTTTAGGGGATAGGAAGACAGGAGGGGTGGGCTGGATGGAAGGGGCAGCCAGTGGTCTGTGCGCTAATCTACAATCTTGAATTGGGTGGACCTCAAGCTCGACAGCTTTTCTTCACCTCTAGTTTTCAATCGCTCCTTCATCCTTCTCTGCCACTTCGCTTTGCTTCCATATTTCTGTTCAATCTTTTCCTTACACCCGCGCTTCCTTGCGCCAATCGACTGATTCTCCTACATCGTAAGTCTGCCGCCCTTCTCCTGGTCTTCCCTACGCTCCAAATGATGATTATCACCTTTACATTTTTTCTGGTACCTCTTATTTTAGAGCCTTACGGCTCGATGCATTAAACGGACTTCTGATGCTGCAAACCCTTTTACTGTCTTGTCGAACGCATTTGGAGTATCAAAGACTGACAGCAAAGTAGCCTTAGTCTTTCAGCATCTGAACCTATGGATGCGTATGTAGCTCAATACAATGACCATTTGTCCAACTGTTTCCACGTCCGTTGATGTCATAACTATGTGACTCGGTCTCCTTGATCCTTGTGCCTAATACGTTTCTCTACCAAAATAGGTTCCCAGACATCAGTGACACGACTTGAGAGTCTCTTAACTACACATCGAATGCTCAGTGTCATCTATGTCCTGATCACATCTCACCCCTTCACAGCCGCTTGACATGGCATTTCTGTCGCAGAATGTTTTTACTCATGACACTATGATACATGGGCTCTGGGTCTTGTGGCAAACGTTTGAACTCAATCTCTGAATGGCCCATCCGCTAACTTTCCCGTGGGTCGACTCTGGACCCTTTTTGTGACACACTTCATGTTCCTTTCCATTGCCCGTTAAACCAGTTCGTAGGGGCACTGTCTGATGCACCCTACCAAGCATTCACGTCAAAGTTCTCCTATACAAATGTTAGTCTCTAGACGTAAGTCCGAGCATCGCAAAGATCATACCTCTGGGAAATATGTCGTGACGACAGTCCTATCCGCAAATTTCCTGCCCGCCAAAGACTGGAGGGCCTTTTTCGTCGCCTCCTTGGTCTCGTATTTGACGAAGATCTTGCCAACTCCGGCTGATTGCCTGCTGCCGCCGACGGGGCGGGGTACCTTGACCTCTAGAACGGTGCCATATTTGGCGCACTCTTCCTGCACATCTTCCACGATTTCTGGGGGTGGAAAGGTTAGCGAATATTTCACAGAACCAAATACTGCAGAGCCACATACCCTCATAGTCCTCATTGTCCATCAGCTCGTCGGCCGTGACCATGTTGAGAAGCTGCAATACCCGGCTTTCTTCGGAGTCGGTCGCCGTGGTGCCAGCCAGCATGGACATGGCGGCCACGCCCATCTCAACGCCTGCAACCTGCGTAACGCCGATACTGGCCTTCTGGATCTTGAGCTTGCTGTTTCCGAGGTCCATTCCGGACAAGCCCTGGATAGCAACATCATTGGCAGCGCTATCGACATACTCGCAGAATACAAAGCCCTAAGAGAATCGTTACTCAAACTGTGTCTTTTGCAAGAGATCCCTCAACCTACCCGAGACTCATCTGTGTGTCGATCGCGGACAAGCACGAAAGCCTTAAGCTCTCCGAACGATGTCAGGAGTTCTGTAACCTGCTCTTCCGTCAGGTAAGGCGGGAAACCAGTGATGCTGAGCTTGTTCGGCGTGTCGACAACATTGCTCGAAACGACACCAGGCTCGTAGGGCAGCTCCTCCGTGACGGCAGGGACAATGTAATCCTTGGGCCTGCGAATCTCCATTCCACGCCCAGCAGCGCCGTCGGTACCAGAATCAGCCTCCATCGAGATGCCATCCAATGCCAAAGCCACGGTTGCCTCGGAGGCGTTGCGGAACTCGACCACGCAGAAGGACTTGTCATTTGACAGCTGGCAGGAAACGCAAGGGTCGGTGCTCTCAATGACATTCAAGCCATTGAGCTGCAAGTTGAAGAAGCTGGCCACGCTCTCCTCGGTCGCCGAAGAGGGGAGCTTGCTGACGAGCAGCCGCTTCGCCTGGCGGGAGTTGCTGGGCTTCAGGGACGCGCTGTTAACGGTGCCGGGCTGGTTCATGAAAGCTTGGAGCTTGGTAGGGTCCATGGGTTGTTGACGCGGGGCACCGGGCAGAGGGAACATGCCGGACAGCTTTGCCTGTTCGGCCGTGACGTTCTCGTAGCCAGGGGGCTTGATATCCCACTGGGTGAGGCGACGCTTGCGATCCAGCACCGACACGATGTCGGTTAGATCGGGGGTCGGCTCGCGCTTTTTGGGGGGCGGGCTAGCGCTCCGGGGACGCTGCTCACGCCGGGCGAATTCTTCATTTCTGTCGCGGCCGCCGCGCCTGCGATCGTCGAATTGGTCTCTGTCGCCTCCCCTCCGCGCGCCGCGATCATCGTCATCTCTCCTGGCATCGCGCCGGGATGAACCGCGATCACGGTCCCAATCCCGCTCGGCGCGCCTGTCTCTTCCAGAGTATCTGTCTTCACGCTCGCGTTCCCTGTGGCTTCGGCTGGCGGCGTAACTATCGTCGTTTTCCTGGCGTCTCGAGCCTCGTTCGTAGGGCGAGCGGGATCGGCGACGGTCTCGGTGGCTGCGCTCCTGGCCGCGGTCGCCACCTCGCTCCTGGCCGCGTTCTCCTCCGCGTTCTCCGCCGCGTTCTCGATCGCGCCGGTCGTCGCGATGTCCGCGCTGGTGAGTGTTGTGTTAAAGAAAATGCGGAGTTTCAATTGTCAAGGGAGTAGCATACCTGGTAGTCGCGACCTCCGCCTCCACCTCCGCCTCGTCGCTCGTCTGTGTAAATACTGTTAAGGGCAAGTTTGCCAAAAGGGCCACAGACAACAAACCTCGAGAGTAGCCGTCGCCGTTCATGCTGACGGTCGTCGGTCAAAGAGCCTCGACAGCGATGACAAGGAAAGAGCGCTGATCAATGGCTGCGCGTAGGTAATGCACGCGGCGAATCAGCGATTTGCTTTCTGGAGCAAGATGGATGGAAGTTGACTGAGGCTCTCGGCTGGGCTTGTCTGAATTGCAAGGCAGCGAGGCTGGAGCACGGACAGTCGTCTGCTCATTGGCCAGTTGCTCTCAATTTGCAACAGCGAGCTTTGAGCGTTCCTGGCTTATCTTATCATGTCCTCGTTTGGATGACTAAGCGACGTCAATCCTCAGAGTTACAATCCCCCTCCGCCCTTTCTTCCCTTCGGAGACACCAGCATGGTTGTCCACTGGAGCCACGAGAGCTAAAGTCATGACAAGAGCATGACATGATGCCAGCCACGAAAGGATCCTCAGAGTATGACTCCATCGAAGATACGCCGGTCGGTCTTGGTCTTGATGTCTCTTACATCTATCAGAATCAGCTGAACGCGTCTCCTTTCATGTGACGATGGTGTTGAGCCGTCGAGTTTCGATGAGCGATACCAAGCTAAAGTGATCCGTCGCCAAGGAAGCGCCTCAGAATACGGCATCGAGGCGATTCGAGAAAGACTATCTGGCGTACCGAACTCTACTGACCATTGGGCTGCCGTGCCGAAGAACGCCTCGCGGTTGAGAGGACCACCTCCTCCCGCCCAGGACCTGCCAGGGCCGACGATGTTAGCTCGGCCCCTCGCCATCGTCAGCTTACGGCACATGCGGTCAAGGAAGCAACTTGATCCTCTGAGAGGTCAGGCCAGCGGCGACACCGGTCTCCAAGCCACATCGAATGCAGGCTGGGGGCCTCTGCCGGTCTTCTCAACATAGCCCTTCACACCATCTCGACGCAAGGGATGGTCGGACTGGCCGCCACCTGTCACCACACTTCTTGTTGTCACCAACGGGAAGCTCCACTTCAGCCGTCGGTCGAATGACTTTGACCAGCCTGTTCCAGGTTAGCGCACCACGGCGGCCGACCTCACCTCCTAGGACTCCAGCGGGAGCTTATTGTTCATTTCAGCCCCCATGCGCAGATCGGCCGCCCGGCCGCGGACCACTCACTGTCTTCGTCCATGGCCCGATCTTCTGGGTGTTGGCACATACAGGAAGCTGGCAGGCATGGCGCGAGGAGGGTGGCATTCGAAGGCTCTCTCCATGCAGACCCCGCTGCCGAGCTCGCGCGTGGGTGGACGGATTTCGAAAGAGCAATCGCAGTGGTGTGCACCCGCCACCTCGAGTTCATTGTCTGTTGTTCGCCCACGACGATGTTCAGCGCATTGCCGACGCCAAGTCGCGAGGCAACTTGCTGATCAAAACAAAGGCTGATAACTTGTCTCTTCGACCGTCACTGTCTTACAACGGCAATGCCTGGCCGAGGTATACATACTCGTATCCTGCACCACAGTCGAGCAGCGACGGTACAATTATGAGCGCTGCGGTGAGGCTGCATATGCCCACCACCCTCCTGCATGTCAGCTTGATCCTAGCCCGCCAAGCCCTCAGCATATGCTTTGGTCCAAGATCTTCATTGTACGTCCTTCGCGGAAGACCCGTCCGATTAGCATCGTACCCGTTGTGTGGGCGAACGTCCAGATCTAGGCTCAATGATACATCGCTGGTTGGGGGGACAAAGGCGTCGAGTATGGACCCTCTGTTAGGGCGAGGACATGGCTTCACTAGGATGCGTTGGCTTCAGTTTCTTTCTTCCGGGGCCGTCGCCCAGGATGTGATCCCATCCATCCTGCGCCAGGCTGGCCCTTGAGTTTACCCAGCCGTGAGGTACAGCCATCGCTGGTGGCACCGCCTCCGCCCCCAACCAGTTCCTGACACCCCCTTCGGCTCCTTTTGGGTCCCCTTCATGGCTTCCCCTCCCAGTGGCCATGTAGGATTGGAGGGTGCTTGTTCTTATGATTTGCTACCATCCCCCGTTGGCCGCCTCCGTCTTCTCCATCCTTTCCTCTTCTACACCTCTCAGTTGATACTGCACGCGTCGTTTCACATTGAGCACTATGAGAGCAGTCAATATGTTGGTGTCACCACTGATGGCCTGGGCCATCCTTACGCTTGGTGTTCACGCACAGTCGGACTCTGAAGCGGAAGAGACAATCAGCGCTTCTACCACAGAATCCTCACCTGCTACGACGAGGGCACCGAGCCGGAGCGTGGCGACCTCTTCCTCTAGCAGAGACCCTCAGACCATCACCATTGCCGTCGGCGCTGTAAGTGCATGGACACAGATCATGCTCATGGACTGCCACTAATTCGTGTCTCTAGTCTGGCCATCGGTTCACAGAAGACGAGGTGACAGCAGAGATTGGTGACACGATCGGTGGGTTTAACTTGTACTACTCGTCGTTGCGTCTTCCAGGCTGATGCCCAGCCCCAGAATGGATCTTCTATCCAGCAAACCACTCAGTCATCCGAGCCGAGTATGGCTACCCTTGCACGCCGTATGAATACATCGATATCGGCAGACAAGGGTTTTACAGTGGCCCTAAGCCTGTCGCTGCCATCACCAATGATGTAAGTCCATGTATCATCAAGAAGTATTGCAGCATTATTCTGACCTCGTTCTACAGCCCCCACGGTACCAGGTCAAAATCAATGATACGGAACCCATATTCTACTACTGTGGTGCACCTGGATCTTGTTACCAGAAGCACATGATCGGGGTGATCAATCCTGTGAGTGGCTTCATCGTGGTGAAACTTGACCCTTCGTTGCTGACGAGACAAAAGAACTCAACGTTCACGCTGGAAGGACAGCAAGACGCACTCGAGGGGTTGACGTACCAAATCCTCCCTGGCGAACCGTTCCCCGGTGAAGATGATTCAAGCCCGCCGGGCACATCGGGCACACCATCACCCAACGGCAATGATTCTGGCGGAGCATCTGGCTCCAACGAAAGCTCCGGTTCGGGTGGAGGAGGCTCGGATCTCAGCGCTGGCGCCATTGCAGGCATAGTCATCGGCGGCGTCGCCGTGCTCATCATTGGCGCGGCACTCATTTGGTTCTGCGGCAGGCGCGGCGGCCTCGACAAGGCGCAACGACGAGACACTTATCAAGCCCCCCCACCGCCTGTCAGTGAGGCTAACTTCATGACAACACCAAAGAGCCCAGGGTCCGACAGCCGTTGGAGCGCGGCGCAATGGAGCACGCAACCGCCGTCGTCTGAACCCTATCGAGACCAGCACAGCCCGCCGGCCATGATGTCAAACAGTCCCGCCACCGTGGGCTCACAGCCGGCGCATGGCTATGGCTATGGTGGGCACGGCATGGAGAACCCGCACGCCTCGTATATGTAAGCAGCTCAACGAGCGTTGAAAGTGGTGATGGACAGATGAGCTGACTCTCTCGCTAGGTCTGACCCGCGTATGAGCCAACAGGGTTCACCGCCGCCCGGCATGGTATACTCACCCAGCTTCAACCAGCCTCCGAGCCAAGCCCCCGTGGAGCTGCCGACACCAGGAAACCCGACGAGCGCGCCACCCTCGTACCCTAACAAGCCCATCTGAGGATTTGCATAGATTGGACTTGCTCGGCAGCACTGGACTCGGGCTGGCGACTGGAGGGGCGCTTGGTTATTTGTAAAGCATGCTTTGAACTTCTTTTCGGTAACCCCCACACCCTCTATTTTTGGCATCGACCATGACGGTAAGGGGGTTTGTTTGGATTCTTCATCAAATTGGGGGAACAGGGCCCTGAGGGCAGCAACATGGGTTGACGGGGCGTGCTATACCTCTGGAAATATAGAGGTTGGCCATCACAACATTTAGATTCACTGTACATTGTCAACGAGGAAGATTGTTTCGACCAAGCAGATTTTTGTTTCCAGACGCTGTTGACATGCGACTGGTGATCGTTTCTGAGGATCGAACGTCTACCATGCCTGCACAGCTTGGGAATCGTTCCGAGTGTCAAGATTTTGCTGACTGGTGATCAAAGAAAACCGGACGTGGTCCCAATGCCAAGAGCTAGCAACCATTCAGGCCCTGAAATGGACAGACGATGCTCTTAGTGCAGTGAAAAGCTTCTTTGATCGAAGGCGGGTTGCACACTCGCAAGGAATGTGGACCACATGACGATGGGAGGGACGCAATCGCGCACCCATCGAACGTCCCATCAGCTCGCGGTCGCATCATCCATAGCAGCAACTGCCGCTCGCAGATAAGGTCGGAAGAGGGGAAAGTTCGTGGCCAGAAAAGGCAGGAGGCTGCTCACGACGGCATACGTGATCAGTGCCGCCGCGGGTGAGTGGAGGTCTTCAGTGAGAGGGAGAGACATGGCGAGAGCGAGCCTGGTAGGTACGAATGTAGGTAGGTGCCTAGGTAGGTAGCGACCTACCCAAGGTATCTAGGTAAGGTACGGAGGGGATAGCGCCAAGACGCCTGGCGGTGGAGCGCTGGAGCACAGGAGAGCGGCAGCTGGCGGCCCCGCCCAGCCACACCCCTCGTGCTCGAGCTGCACCACATCTGGGTGCTGTAGCTTCCGTAGCAGGTACCTACCTGCTAAGGCACTTGCGCTGCGTCGCGTTAGGTACCCGCACGAGCACCTGCTTTTTGCTCGTGGCTCTAAAAAAGGACACCTAAACGATTCCGCGCCATGGGATTGGATTGTCTGAGGTCATCCACCCTGCGAGGTTCCTCTACACCTTGGAAGCAGTGAACTCTACTTCGGCCTTCTGCGCCTCCCCCCCCCCCTCTCCCCAATTGCCCCATTGCTCCATTGCTTGTCCCCTAGGTTGTCTCCGACAGGAAGCTCAACACAGTGAATCGCCTCCACTCCTCTTCTTAAGGAGAGCATCACCTGCTTCAGGACAACATATCCTCTTCCCACCCACATTTTCCCCCTTTCGCCCATCTGCCGAACAGAACCACGGCCAATTCTTCCCCAGCTCTTCAGCTTCGGCCTCGCGACCTGGTCCCATTTCTGGTGACCGTCCTCTCCTCAATTCGATAGCTCGACATTCGTGTGCAACCAAACAACCTTGTTGTCCCTTGCTGGCTAGGGCTATACCGTCCTCGAACTCTTCTTCTTCTTCTTCTTCTTCCGCGCAGCGACACGCCCTCTCCTTCCACCAACAATCACACATCTCACCCTCCCGCGCTGCTCATCATGGCTCAGCAGAGAGGGCCTTCGTACGGCATGGGCGTCGGCCAGCCGTCTTTCGGTGGTCCCAGCAGCCAGGACTCGAGTGATTCGAGCCCTCTGGACGTGATCCGTCAACAGACCAGCAAGATCGAGGACCTTCTTGACAGCGTCAGCGAGCCGATCAGGCCGTGAGTTCTTCTTCTCCCTCTTCTTCTTCTTCCTCCGTACCTCCCCTGGAATGCAGGCAAACTGACTGTGATGTCTCTCTGTCAGATACCTGCCCGCAATTGGCCGATTCCTGATCGTCGTCACCTTCCTCGAAGATGCTCTGCGCATCGTCACCCAGTGGAGCGATCAGCTTCTTTACCTCAACGACTACCGACACAGTATGTTGTGCCCTCTCCAAGTCCCCAAGCGGCGGGCGCGCCGTGCCTCTCTCTCTCTCTCTCTCTCTGCCCGGCCTCTTCGCTGACACTGCCCCTTAGTTCCGTCGGGCATCACGCATCTTTTCCTTCTCACAAACGTCGTCGCCATGATCGCGTGTTCCGTGCTCGTCATCATCCGCAAGCACTCCGACTACGCCGTGTTTGGCCTCATGGGTGTCGTCGTCACGCAGGCCCTCGGCTACGGTCTCATTTTTGACCTCAACTTCTTCCTGCGCAACCTGTCGGTCATTGGCGGCCTCCTCATGGTCATGTCGGACTCGTGGGTCCGCAAGTCCAAGGCGTTTGCCGGCATTCCCGAGCTCGACGAGAAGGACCGCAAGATGTACTTCCAGCTCGCCGGCCGCGTGCTTCTCATCTTCCTGTTCGTCGGCTTCGTCTTCAGCGGCACCTGGACCTTTGGCCGCATCATTGTCTCCATCATCGGCGCCATTGCGTCCGTCATGGTCGTTGTCGGTTTCAAGGCCAAGTTCAGCGCCACGCTGCTCGTTGTCATTCTCAGCGTGTTCAACCTCTTTGTGAACAACTTCTGGACGGTACGCGGTCCCTGCTTTGACTTTTTTTTTTTCATTTCTTTTCTTTTCTTTTCTTGGGTGCATGTACTGACGAGATGGCAGCTCCACGAGCACCACCCCCACAAGGATTTCGCCAAGTACGACTTCTTCCAGATTCTCTCCATCGTCGGCGGTCTCCTCCTCCTCGTCAACAGCGGCCCCGGCCAGTTCAGCATTGACGAGAAGAAGAAGGTGTACTAAGCACGAATACTCTCACGTCTCGGACGGGTCCCCGGGACCCCACGCCATGTGGGCGCGCGTCGCGAAGATGGAAGAGGGGGAAACGTGCAAGAGGACTTCAACTTGCCCACGCGGTGGGAGACGCGAGCGCCTCGGCACGAAGAAGAGGGGATCTCAGCGGAGGGGGGGCCGCCATGTATGTAAAAAGCTGCGCGGCCGCCACGGCGCCACGGACAGCAGGGAAATCACGAGGGCCATGCATCAGTTGGTCATATATGAATGATGTTGTCGGGAAAGGAGTCTTCCGTCAGAGCACGGCGGGCTTCGGGTTTTAGATTCAGGCGGGAAAAAAATGAATCACAGTCATCTTTCAGTTGCACGGCGAGGTCATGATGCACGGGTCGATGCGTGGGTATGAGGACGATGTTCGGGGTGTGTCGCTGTTCAAGCACGTTGAAGGTGGGAAAGCAGCCGGCGCACGAAGGGCCGCGCGAGCCTCTGGGTGTCGAGCCAATGTTGCGCAGCGCATGAGGGAGCGTGTTCTCTCTTGCACCCCATGCTCTCCGAACCATTGCTTTTTTTCCCGCCGGCCCCGCCTCGCCCGCGCCTGTTCCAGAGCCATCTCGCACAAAGGCAGCAGCACCAATGTTCGGCCCGAGACCCTGACGACGGTCGCGCCCACTTTGTTTCCGCACCGGACATTGCTCTGGGCCGTGCTGTCACTCGACGACCTCCCTTGCAGAAAAAAGGAAAGCATGTTCGTTTCCTTCGTCTCGCATGCGTTCGCGTGCTGGGATTTCAAGACGAGGAACCGAATTTCTTGACGTGGCCAGCGGGTTGGCAAGAAATAAGATAGCAGGCGTCATGCTCGGGGACGGAGAGCCTCGGTGATTGTCTGTCTACCTGGACAGACGTAGCCCCCCCCGTACAGATGCTGCTTGTAGTGTATGGGTTTTAGATGTGCCATTCGTTGTCTGCAAGCCACTTGCTCGGATCGAGACCGCAGTGCATGATTCGAGGCAGACGTACAGCAAGCGCAGAACAGCGTTGACCATCGCAGACAAACGTGGCTCTCGTTGGCGTGAGCATGCCGCACGAGAGCAGGCCAAGCTGGGGACGCTGTCGTCAAGTTGCAGACTGAACAGGAAAAGGACATGGCGCACCTCACCGAGGAAAGAACGCCTTGACCCCACTTTGGCGATCTGATTATGTCAGCACCGCCGATGCCCTCGAACGTCCCACGATCATGTACCGCATTGTTCAGGGGCACACGACGTTGGGAGGGGGAGTATTCCGGTTTGCATGTGGTCTTGACACTAGTCTGAGGCTCTCAGGTATCAGGAGACCACTGTCCATAGCTCACTTCTTCAGGGCCACCGTATTGTAGGTAGAAATCCAATACGTCAAGCGCCCACGCTCACTCCTCCTGCAGTTCCACCACTTGGCTCGTTCCTAGGCAGGGGATCCTGTGATCCAGGCCACAGGGAACAGACCCGAGCATCAGCCCATGGCGGAGGCGGCGGCGACGGCGCTCGGCGTCATCGGGTTCCTCGGCCAGCTCTTCGACGGCTGCGTGCGGGCGTACGGGTACTTCACGACGGCGGCGCGGCTCGACCAGGACAGCGCGCGGCTCGTGTGCAAGGTGCGCATCGAGGAGATGCGGCTCGTCGTCTGGGGCCGCGAGTGGGGGGTCGCCGAGGGCCGGCTCGAGCGCGAGAGCACGCCGCAGATGGCGGCGCTGGCGGGGCGCATCATGGAGGAGCTGCACGCGACGGTGACGGACTTTGTCAAGCTGCGGGATCGCTACGGCATCGTCGAGGAGGCCGCGGCCCAGAACGGCCAGGCCAAGGGGGCGAAGGAGGCGCGCGAGCGCGACGGCGGCAGGGAGAGGGGGTGGCGGAAGGAGTTGACGCTGCGGGCCAAATGGGTCATTGCTGGTGCGTTTGTGTTCCTCGTCTGCGTTTCGACTCTGTCCACGGCCGGACAGGATGGGTCATGGGGCTGATGAGGCTATCTACAGACAAGGAAAAGTTCACTGCCCTCCTCCGGGACCTCAAAGGTACATCGTGGCCCCTTCGTCCTTGGTCCTCCCCCCTTGGTCCTCTCCCCTTGCCCGCACGTGCGTCCTCGCAGGCCACTGACGCGAGCAGACTTCAACGATGGCCTCGACCAGCTCTTCCCGCCGTCTCGCCTGCCATCCCTCCACCGCGCGTGGCGCCACTCGCTCCTCGACCACGCCCAGCGCGACGTGGCCGAGCTCGCCCTCCTCGCCTCCTCGGCCGAGGATTCGTACCCGCAGCTCCGCGCCTCGGCCGCCCTCAAGAAGCTGCGTATCAACCTCGACCTCACGCCCCAGGCCCAGTTCCGCCCGACCTTTGCCTTCCGCGTCGCCCGCGCCGACCTGACGCTGGACGCGAACCCCTCGACCCACGGCGGCGGCCCGCCCAGATCGACGCCCGGCCACGACCCGCGCGTCGCCGCCCGCCACAGCGCCCACGGCCCCGTCCTCGTCGAGTGGGTTGAGTACGACCGCGAGGACCCGGACGAGCGCTTCCTGCACCTCCGCCGCCTCGACGACCTCGCCCGCATGCTGCGCTCCGCCTCGGCCCGCCACCCGGACCTGCACACGCCCGACTGTGTCGGCTACGGCGACGACGCGCCCGCCCACCCGCGCTACGGCCTCGTCTACAAGCTGCCGCCTTGCCCCTCGCCAACGCCCTCCGACGCGGCCTCCCTCGCCGCCGAACCCCCCGCCGACACCCCCGCCGACGCCGACGCCGCGACGCCCGCCCACACCTCCCTCCACGCCCTCATCGCCGGGCCCCTCCGCACCCCCGACCTCACGGCCCGCATCGACCTCGCCCGCACCCTCGCCGTGGCCCTCTGGTCCCTCCACTCGCTCGACTGGCTGCACAAGTCCCTCTGCAGTGCCAACATTCTCTTCATCCGCCCCGCCGCCCCCTCGTCCTCCTCGTCCTCGTCCTCCTCCTCGCAGAAGGACGCCGCGTCCTCCGCAGCGCAGGTCCCCTGCATCGAAGCCCCCCACCTCGTCGGCTTCGACGCCTCCCGCCCAGACCTCGACCCCGAAATGTCCGTCAACCCGCGCAACCCCAGCATCGTCAACCTCTACCGCGACCCGCGCGTCTCCTCCTTCGGCAGCGGCAGCCACGGCGGCGGCGGCAGCAGCCACGAGAAAAACAGCAACAGCCACGAGAGAGACAACGGCGGCCCCCGCCAACCCTACCGCAAGAGCCACGACATCTACAGCCTCGGCCTCGTGCTGCTCGAGATTGGCTGGTGGAAGGTCCTCAGCACCTACTATAAGCCGCACTACTCGGCTGAGCGGTGGCGCGACAAGGTCGTGCTGCCCGTCCTCGTGCCGGGCCTCGCGTCCAAGACGGGGCGCCTGTACCGGGACGTCGTCGAGAGGTGTCTGACCGTGCATGAGGACATGTCGTCGAGCGAGGCCGGCGAGGTCATGGAGTGGGTTGTTGCTACGTTGGAGAGCATCAGGACATGACGTACGTGACCTTGACATAGACCGACCATGATGGACGGCCATGACGTGACGATACGAGGTAGAACCTTCTGGTGAATAGTCCCATGTTGACCATGGCAACCCAACTGGCAATACCCCAGAACATCTTTTACAAAGTAGCACATCACATATGCATCAGTGGCATCACGTCCAATCAAATACATCAGCGTCCATCGAGACACATGCGAGGCGAGGACACCTCTAATCGTGCATTCTGTCAACGGACTGCGACTCGGAAAAAAGGGAGAGGGGGGGGAGGAAGAATCTAAGGAAGGTAATCCACAGGGCGAGGTCGGCGTCAGTGCGTGTGCATGTGTGCATGCGTACGTCATGCCTTGCCTCCCCGTTTCCCAAAGCAAACCGAACGATCGAGTATGTGACTACTAGAGTAGCAGAGAAGCAATAGTAAAAAATGGTAGACAACCCGCGAGGAGAAAGAGACTTTGGCCGTCTCATAAAAAAAAGGATGCGCGCCCGAATCAACCGGTGTAAGGGATTCGCCGAGTTGCCCCTGTCATGACCGCCAAATATTCGTATCAGGTCGTGAAACTCTCGATGAGAGAGGTGAGCGAGGTTTTCTTCCGGGCGCCGCTGAAGCCGAAAACCACGAGACATAAAAGGTGCGAGCAGAGAGAAAGGAAGCCGGGAGGGCGGACCTGCTCAAGCAGAGCAGGCCACCCGATCCGACCCCGGCGGCGTGTTGTTACAGGCGCCGTCTCCTTTTTACGCACATGTCTGTGGCTGGAGGGCGTTGGATCGACCTCCGTCGGCGAAGCGGACGACGGCCCGGCGTACGTGCCCGGCAACGCCAAGCTTGTCGTGACGGTGGGCCGTCTTGGAAGAAGGGGAGGCCGCGGCGGCGGCGGCGGCGGAAGTCTTGGGTGAAGACATGGAAGACGGGCCTGCAGACGCATGGGTGGCGGTCTGGAGGCGTGCAGCAGACCCGTCGGATTGTCAATCGATACCGTGCTGCTTCTTGAGCTGAGCTAAAGACTCGCGGCGCGCCTCGAGGTCCTCTTTCGTGCGGTTGAGCATCTTCTCTGGCTGGTGGTACAGGACTAAGGGCATGTCACGTTAACGATGTATCCTCAAAAGGATGGCCTCGATGCGAGAGCTGCAGGTGGCGAGGGAGACACGTACCGACAAGGTAACGGTTCTGGAAGTTGAAACCGTTCAGCTTGTCGCAAGCCTGCTTGGCATCCATGACGTCTTCATAGACAACGAATGCGGTGCCCTTCGTGTTGTTGGCAATGCCCTGTCGAACCTGTCTGTAGTCATTGTTAGTCACAGTCATGTCGTGTGGTGGATTGACGATGGTCATGGATGGATTCGAGATGGTCATGTGTCGTGGTTGATGGGGGTCATGGGCGTACCGGATTGGGCCGAATTTTCCGAACAGGTCGAACAACTCCTCGGGAGTTACGTTGTAGCTGCACAAAGGGTCAGGGTCGGGGTCGCGTGGTCATCGAGGATGGGATAAAATCTACCTCAAGTTCTTTACGAACAGAGCTCTGTGATACTGGTCAGCCATGTGTCGTTGTATCAAATGGAGAGCGAAGGTAAGGGAGGGGGGGGGATCGGAGCCGAAGGGCGCGAACGCCAGGTCGCGAACGTGGACAGGCTCGGAGAACGAAAAGGTCCGAGTGGAAAGAAAAGAGCATCAAGACATACCGGTTCACTTCTGGTGCTAATTTACCACGATTGCTGCTCATCTCCGTTCCTCGAAATCTACTACGATTGAGGATGACCGGGTTCGGTAATGCGTAATGGACGCGCTTCGGCTGATGGGGGGAGGGATTGGGTGGTTGTGGTTGGGGGGGGATTGAGGAGATGTTGGAGTTGGGAAGACTGGATGGAAGGTTGTAATAAAGAACGGGGGGGGGGGGAAGCGACGAGGCCAGGTCGCCGGGGGGGAGACCCCGTGCACCTTGACACTTCTCTCTCTCTCTCTCTCTCTCTCTCTCTCTCTCTCTCTCTCTCTGCCTGGCGCTGCGGTGTTGGGTGCGCCGTGGCCCCGGTCTGCCAGTCAGCAACTGCGACTCCCCACTCGGCTCCCACCACAGGTACACCCACACTCGAGCACCTCACCGAGCGCCAAGGCTACGGGATGGCTGTGCACACACGTGACCTTCCGGTGCCAACCCTCGCCTTTTCATTGGGTGCATCTGCTTGGAGATAGTGGCCAGTGGAGCAGTGGAGAGCCTCGTGCCGCGTTACCGGAGATGAACTGGTCGCGAGGTACCTTTTTTCCCACTCCAGTCTGACGCAAACAGAGTATGATTCAGAGGCCGCTTCGTCGACGTGACGTGATCATTGTGACCATGGCATGCCTCGCCAATTGACCGCCAGCGTTACTCGGCGTGTCGGTCGTCGTGCAAGCATACCGACACGGCGAGAAGACACGCCTACCTATCAATCGCCTGGTCATCGTACCTGAGATGTAGGGAGTCGCTCAAGCTTCAGGCGAAAACAGGGCTATCTTGCATTGGCACATTGCTTTTTGGTCCCCCCGCGATTTCTACTGTAGGTACTAAGCGAATGCAAGACGGCCGGCCAGCACATCCGAGTGATAAGCTTGCCAAAACATGGCGCCAACGAGTTTCCCCCAATCTTTATATGGAATTGACTCGGCATTATTCAAGTGATTCGCGTGCTTGGAGCTGACTCCGGATCTGCAGACACCAATCTGCTGGCATTCCCGTCGATCTGCTCGAATTATCAGTCAACAAGCCAATTTGATCATCCTTCGCCAATTCAGGCATCCAAGAACCTGTTTGCCCAAACGCCCTCAAGCTCACCCAACCCACCCTAGCGAACCATCACCACCAATCGCCGCCACTCCATCGAACTATAACGTCCACCACGTGAACGATATCTGCAGGCGGCACGGCGCGTGCACCATCTTGTTGCGACTCTCACCTGCATACATGTTCACGCCATTGGAAAAAGCACGGCATGCCCGGCGCCCGCCTCCGCGCCAGCTTGGAGAGAGAGAGAGAGGCAGTTCTGGCTGGCGTGACGGGACCCGGCTGGTAATGAGCAACACCACGTCACAAACAGCTTCCATCGGTATCTCATCAACATTGTCGCTGAAGGCCCAAACAGCCTGCGAGCGGGTGGACTGCCTGCGGGCGGCACGCTGCAGCGACCCGACGGAGCCCAGTTGCCAATAGATGCTGCTCGACGCCGAAGGAGGTTTACCCATGTGTCATCCTCCCTGTCACGCATCAACAGTCATGATGCAAGACGATAGTGGGTGGGCAGAGACGGATAGGTTGATCCAAGTGCTGCGCGAATCATTATGCACCTTTGGCGAGGAGCTCCAACATAAGAAGCCTGTTCGCAGAGATGCACCACAGGCCTCTGTAAAGCCTAAACAAACCGAGTCGCCGTATTGGGCGTCCTCTGCTGAGAGCTACATACCCAATCAGGCGTGGGGCTCTGTTTCCCAAGCAGACGTCGATCCAGTGTCAAGAACCCTTGAAGCTCTTGTTGGGCAGGGCGCACAGCTGGGGCAAGTCTCCCCCGAGAACACCACACATGACAGTCTTCACCACCCGTCAACTATTGTTCAACAAGACGTTCTCAATGATGTCGGACCCAATTTTCTGGCACCACCTGCGGCTTTGTCGCTCAACAATACGCACCTCTCTCCGCAGGAGCTTACCACGGACGGGCACTTGGTCCGGCCTCTGCTGCCACCAGACACCGTCTTCTCTCCAGGTGTGGCAGATCAACTCCCGTCAGACGTGACGTTCAAGCTGAGGAGCCCCGTGAAATCGCCCTTCTTCTGCCCAGAGTCGCCCAAACCATCACCTAAGACTAGGCGGCCTGTGGCCGGCACTGTCTCCGCCATACCCTTTCCACCCCTGACGGCGCCATGCTTCAGTCTCATCCAGGAGAAACTTTCGCACGACCCCTTTTGGCTCCTCATTGCCGTCACATTCCTGATCAAAACAGCAGGCACGTTGGCAATACCAGCCTTTTACAAGGTAAAAGAACGGTTTCCCACGCCAGAGCACCTCGCCACGTCCGGGGCAACAACAGCAATCACAGACATGATTCGCCACCTCGGGCTCGCAGTGAATCGCACTTCCATGATCCAGAAGTACGCCAGGTTATGGACCGAGACCCCGCCACAGCCTGGTGTGGTATATCGAGTGCGAGGCTACGACAGGCGGGAGGTCCCTGGCGAGCTGCCACTCGATGCTACAACGCCGACAAACAACAGAGAGGCAGGCGATGCATGGGAGATTGGACACATGACGCAGGGAAAGTATGCGCTCGACAGTTGGCGGATTTTCTGCCGAGACGTGCTGCTCGACCGGGCCCAGGACTGGAACGGCCTCGGAGCGCCACCCGAGTTCCAGCCCGAGTATGTGCCTCCTGACAATCGCAAAGAATAGTCGCTGACGGTAGAACAGGTGGATGAGAGTGCGGCCGGATGATAAAGAGCTGCGGGCGTGTCTGCGGTGGATGTACATGAAGGAGGGCTGGGAATGGGATCCTTCGACGGGCGAGAAGACGGTCCTGCGACCAGAAATGGAACGAGCCGTCAACGAAAGCCGTGTCGAGTATGATGACGCGGGGGGGTTGCGGATTTTGGATCGTCCCAGAGACTTGACGTAGGCGCTTGGGGTGGGGAATCACGCTGTTCGTGGTGTATGATCATGACGATAGCTGAGCTGGTTGCTCACGGTGGTATATTACCCTTCCTGAGGGGGTAGTTGGGTGTTTCGATAAATCGAGGCGGGCATCTGAAGCTGTGATTTTCATTTTCTAGGTACCTTTCATCAACGAGGAGGACTGATGAGTGGTGGCCACGACGGTTGACTGCGGCTTGGAGAGCAAGTAGTTGGATCTGAACATAGCGGATCTGAGCACAGCCAGATCTGGTTCAAGTAGCGGCCCAGAAGGGCTAGCACACGTCTTAGCGCGGGTAGTGGCGATCGACTGCTCGCTCCTTGTGTCCTTCCCCGCATCAACCCAGGCGAACTGAGTGAGGGGCAGGTGCAAGGCAAGCACCAGGTACTGGGAGCTCCTTCCACAACGATATATACGTACATTCCCCAGCTTCTGCACTGCAACGCGTTGTGTGGAACATCCGTCTGGGGCTCTAGTGAAGGGCCATAGATCACCTTGTCTTTCTCCTCTGCCATTGTCCTGGTTTGTCTGTTCTGTTCTCGTTCATTTCCCGACGCAATGGGCTCTCAGATTGACTCGCAGGACGAGTTTACGGTCCTCGTGACCGGCTTCGGCGTACGTCTGCCTTCCCCTTGCTCCCCTGTCCCTAGTATCCTTCTCCCCTTGTCGCTATCCATGAAGGATTGCATCCGACGTACTGGAAGCAGCCAGGCTGACAAGCGGTATGCCCACAGCCTTTTAAAGCGGCCTACCCCGTCAACCCTTCGTGGGAGATCGCACGCCGCCTACCGTCCCACCTGCCAACCACCTCCGTGCCCGCCGCCGGCGCCGACCCCTCCACGGCACCGGCCCTACCACTGCCGCCCGTCCGGATTCTCGTCCACCCCGAGGCCATCCGCGTCAACTACCAAGTCGTCCGAGGTCTCGTGCCGACTCTCTGGGACCAGCTCCCTCACGACACCCCCGGCGACCCCTCGGCGGCACCGCCCCGTGATGGCCCCAGCGACGCCGCCGCCCACCCCCCCAACCCGCCGCGCATCGACCTCTGCATCCACATCGGCATGGCGGGCCCCCGACCCTTCTACTGCATCGAGCGCCGGGGCCACCGCGACGGCTACGCGATGCCCGACGTCGACGGCACGCGCCTCGAGGATGACGACCGGCGGCGCGAGCAGGGGCCCGACTGGGTCTGGGCCGACATACCCCCCGAGCTCGAGACGGACCTCGACGTGCGCGACGTGCTGCGGCGCTGGCGACGGCTGAGCCCCGACGACGCCGACCTGCGCATCTCCGAGGACGCGGGACGCTATCTGTGCGACTTTATCTACATGTCGAGTCTGGCGCACCTCTACCGCAAGGGCGAGCAGAGGCGCGTCGTCTTCTTGCACGTGCCGTGTGACGCGAGCGAGGAGGCTGTCGGCCGAGGCACGGAGCTGGCGACGGGGCTCGTGAGGGCCTTGGTCGAGAGCGAGGTGCAGAGAAGGCGGAGTGCGGACATAAGGAAGGAGGATAAGATTGCCGTCGAGCTGCGGGTGTGATTTGCATGACTTGTGTGATCTGCGGTAAACTCTATGGCCATGAGCACTGAAACCAGTCCTGGTCATCCTCATTTGACTATTTTTTGGTTTGAAGAAATCATAGCTATAGCTCGGTTTCGCTAACCTGTTATAGCCCACGTTCGACTTTCTACTTGTATAGCGAATGAACGTGTATTCATATCTTTGTTTCTCCCATGGTCATAACTTCGTACATGCTCTGTGGGCCCTGGAACCGTGGTCCTCCCCATCTAGCCATCACGTCGCCCGCGCCCCGTCTAGTGCTTGCGCCTCGGCGCGCGGTGGTACTGGTTCGCCCACTTGACGTCAACGTCGAGCTCCCGGGCAATGTTGAGCACAAAGTTGGGCTCCCTGAGGAACTGGCGCGCCACGAGCACGACGTCGGCCTGCGTCACCTGGCCGTGCTCCTCGTCGACCTCGACCGTGGCCTTGGCCGCGGCCCCGGTCGCTCCGTTCTGCTTCTGCGTCGTCGTCTGCACGATGCCGCGCGCCATCTCGGCGCTGCTGATCATGCCGACGGCGCCGACGAGCAGCGCCTTGCCGTCCTCCTCGAGCGCGGCGCGGATGCGCTCGGCCAGCGACACCTGGTAGTAGGGGTGAATGTCGATCTTCTGGTCGGCGCTGTTGCCGCCCGAGGAGACGTCGAGGAGGTCGACGCCGAGGCCCGGCAGCAGCTTGGCGAGGCGGATGCTCTCGTCGAGGTCCCAGGACGGGCGGCCGGCGTGCTCCATCCACTCGGTGCCGGAGATGCGGACAAAGAGGGGCAGGCCGTCGGGGACAACGGCGCGGACGGCGCCGAGAATCTCGACGAGGATGCGCGTGCGGTTCTCAAACGAGCCGCCGTAGCGGTCCGTCCGCTCGTTGGACAGGGGCGAGAGGAACTCGGTGAGGAGGTAGCCGTGGGCGGCGTGGATCTCGATGACGTCGATGCCGGCGGCGACGGCGCGCTTGGCGGCGTCGGCGAAGCGCTGCACGAGGGCCCCGACCTCGTCCGTCGACAGCGCCCGCGGTGCCGGGTAGCCCTCGGCGAAGGGCAGGGCCGACGGGGCGACGACGTCGTCGGGCCAGCCGCCCTCGGCGTCGTGGGCCACCTGACGGGTCTGGCCCTCGGCGAGCCAGGGGGCGAGGGTCGAGGCCTTGCGCCCCGCGTGGCCGAGCTGGATGCCGACGAGGTGGCCCTGCGAGTGAATCAAGTCGGCGATGCGGCGGAGCGGCGCAATCTGCGAGTCGGTCCAGAGGCCAGAATCCTCGGGTGAGATGCGGCCGCGCGCCTCGACGGCCGTCGCCTCGATGATGGTGAGGGCGGCGCCATGGAGGGCAAACTGCCCGAGGTGTACGAGGTGGTAGTCGGTCAGGTGTCCGTCTTGGGCTGAGTACTGGCACATGGGCGAGACGACGAGGCGGTTGGCGAGCGTCTTGGAACGGATCTGGAGCGGCGTGAAGAGCGTCGGCGGGCTGCTGCTGAGGGCTGTACCGGCGGCGGGCTCCTGAGCGGGTGTGTAAAAGGGGACGCCCTTGGCGGGCTGGTTGACTGGCATGGTGGGGGTGTTGTTGGTGATGATCTGTGGTGTTGAGGGGTTGCTTGGCTGATCTGATCTGAGGGGTAGGACGCTTCTCAACCGTCTACTTGTTTGTCTAGGTTTGGAAAAAGGAACACCAAAATCTAAATGCTCTGGACCCTCCAGGTCGTCCCCCTCAACTTTCTTGGAGCAAGAATGCCTTTAAACCAAGTCTGTCGAGGTTGATTAATCAGCCATTGAGGAGTTCCGTCGATCCTGTCACATCATCCAGCAGTCGCGCCCGCCCGATCTCAGAGAACAAGCACGTCACGGGGATCGCACTTGCCTGACCTGCGGCACCTGGACCAAAGCAAAAAGAATAATTAAAATATCACTACTGCTTCATGACCCTCGCGACGGAAATACGCGCTGTGCCCAAGTCTCGCTGTCACATGAACAGTACAAACACTTGTGATTCATTCCATCGGCCCATTCAGCCCCGCTGCCAGCGAGACCATGTCCTCCAGTACGCTGATTCCGAACCACCGCCGTTGAGACGACAGGCGTGCATCAGACCGCAGCGAGTCCCAGAGGAGACACGTATTTCCAAGCTTCTGCGGACCGGCGGTTTCTAGTCTGACTCGGGGTTCGGAAAGTGACCTCATTGATACTAGCTAGGCTAGGACCGAGGCCCACGGAACGAAATAATGCATTCACCATGATGTATCCATAAGCTGTTCAACAGCCAAAGGAGTTTCTTCTCCTGGAAAGGAACTTGCCCCGGAGTACAACACTGTTCACACATCTAGGGAAGAGGGGGCGTGTATGTGCCCTAACGTTACATCGGCATCAGCGACAGAAACAGCACGGCACGGTATGCTATACACAGCATCACGGGACCACGAAACCAATAGGGTTAAAATCGATCATTAGACGTAGCCCGTTAAGGGGCTCTCATTCTAGTCTACCGACCGAAGTGTCAAAGCGCCATCTGTTGAATGCACTTTTTCTTTTGCCAAACCGCGCCTGTTCTGAGGCTGGTTGGTCCCGATACCACCTGCAACGCCCGTGGAGATGGTTGAAAACGAACGCCAATGTTGAATGTTGCCGAAAAGGGGCCCCCTTGCCCCCGGCTTTTCCGAATCTCCCATGGGTATTGCCTCGTTCAAGGTCTGTTGAAAAGACCGCTCATCAAAATCGCTGATAAAAACCAACCTTGTTTCCCGTTCCTGTCCCTCATTAACCGGAGCGCGCCGCCCTTGCTTCCGAAGCGTGCCGCGCTCATAATACACATGGCACCCCGTGACGAGGCGCTTAGGCCTTGTCGGCGTACTTCTCGCGGAAGAACTTGGCGGCGTTGACCAGGTTGGTCAGCGCCGTCTTGGTCTCTTTCCACTGGCGCGTCTTGAGACCGCAGTCGGGGTTGATCCAGAGCTGCTCGGGGCGGAGACCGTTGGTGATCATCTCCTCGATGCGCGTCTTGATCTCCTCCTCCGAGGGGACACGGGGGGAGTGGATGTCGTAGACACCGGGGCCGATCTGGCGGGGGTACGCCTCACGGTCAAACACCTGCAGCAGCTTGGCGTCCGACTTGCTGTTCTCGATGGACAGCACATCGGCGTCGAGCGCGGCAATGGCGTGGAAGAAGTCCTGGAACTCCGAGTAGCAGAAGTGCGAGTGGATCTGGGTCGAGTCGGCAATGCCGGCCGTCGACAGCTTGAACGAGTCGACGGCCCACTCGAGGTAGGCCTCGCGCTCCTTGCCGCTGCGGAGAGGGAGACCCTCACGCAGGGCGGGCTCGTCCACCTGGATGACGAAGATGCCGGCGGCCTCGAGGTCGACGACCTCGTCGCGCAGGGCGAGGGCGAGCTGCTGGGCCTGGACAGACTGGTGGACGTCGTCACGGGGGAACGACCACCGGAGGCAGGTGATGGGGCCGGTAAGCATGCCCTTCATGGGCTTCTTGGAGTGGGCGGCGGCGTACTTGGACTCCTTGACGGTCATGGCCTCGTTGTTGCGGCGAGAGATGTCACCGACAACAATGGGAGGACGGACGCAGCGAGAGCCGTAAGACTGGACCCAGGCGTGGGTGGTGAAGACGTAACCGTCCATGCGCTCACCGAAGTACTGAACCATGTCGTTACGCTCGGGCTCGCCGTGGACGTAGACGTCGAGGTCAAGCTCATCCTGGATCCGGATGACATCATCGATCTCGCTCTCGATGAACTTCTCGTACTCAGCAGCGGTGATCTCACCCTTGGTGAACTTGTTGCGCTGGATGCGGATCTCCTTGGTCTGGGGGAAGGAGCCGATGGTGGTGGTGGGGAAGAGGGGAAGGTTGAGGTGCTTGCGCTGGGCGGCGATACGCTCAGGGAAGGCAGACTTGCGGTTGTGCTGCTCCTTGGTGACCTCAGACTGGCGCTTCTTGACGTCAGGGTTGTTGGTGCGGGCAGAGGTGGCACGGGCGTGGATGTCCTTGGCGTTGGCATCGAGCTGCTCCTGGACGGAGGCGGCGTCGGTGATGGCCTTGGCAATGATGGCAACCTCGGTGGCCTTCTCAGTAGCGAAGGCGAACCAGGCGTAGACCTCCTCGGGAAGGTTCTTCTCGGACTTGAGGGTGTGGGGGGTGTGGAGCAGAGAGCTGGAGGTGGCGACGATAACACGGTCCTCGCCGAGCTTGGAGACGGCCTCCTTGACGATGCCAATGGCCTTGGAGAAGTTGGTCTTCCAGATGTTGCGGCCGTCAACGACACCAGCAGACAGGACCTGCTTGGGGCCGAGCTTCTCAATGACAGGGCCGAGCTGCTCGGGGTTGCGGACGAGGTCGACGTGGAGGCCGTACAGGTGGGTGGTGGCGGCGAGAACGTCAAAGTTGTGGACAATGTCACCAAAGTAGGTGGCAAGGACGAGGTTGGGGAGACCCTCGCCAGCGAGCTTCTCGTAGGCGGGCTTGAAGGCAGCCTTGGTCTTCTCGGGCAGGTCGAAGACGAGGACAGGCTCGTCAATCTGGACCGACTCGGCACCGGCAGCCTTGAGCTGCTTCAGGAGCTCGACGTAGACAGGCAGGAGCTTGTCGAGAAGGGAGATGGGGTCGACAGACTGGTCACGGTCGGGCTTGCCGAGGTGAAGGAAAGAGACGGGACCGAGAAGGACGGGGCGGGTAGTGACACCAGCCTCCTTGGCCTCGTTGAACTGAACAACGGGCTTGGGGTTGGAAGACAGCTTGAACTCCTGGCCATCCTGGAAGGTAGGCTTCACGTAGTGGTAGTTGGAGTCGAACCACTTGACCATCTCCAGGGAGGGGACGTCAATGCCGTCCTTCTGGTGGCCACGGCCCATGGCGAAGTACTCGTCAAGGGGCTCGAGCTTGGTGTCGGTGTAACGGGGAGGAACAGCCTGCAGGAGCGTGTGAGTAATCTTGGCGAGAAATGGTGCGATATGAGAGATAGCCGGGGGGGGGTGGCAGGGGAGGGGTTAGCAACGTACACCGAAGAGCTGGATGTGGTCGAGGACGTGGTCGTAGAAAGCAAAGTCGTTGCTGGGGATGATGTCGACACCGGCATCCTTCTGGATCTTCCAGTGAGCAGCACGCAGGCGCTTGCCCTCGGCGAGGAGGTCATCGCGGGAGAGCTTGCCGCCCCAGTAGGCCTCGTTGGCCTTCTTGAGGTCGCGCAGAACGCCCTGGCGGGGGAAGCCGAGGATGCTTGACGACACCATGATGTTGTCTGTGTGTATGTGTGATCTCTGAGGAGAAGAGATAGGAGATGCGTCAACTTCTTCTCTTTCTTCCGAGGGAGAAGACTTTTGTGTTTGGGAGGTGGGAGAAGGAGGGAGAGAGAAAAGTGAGGAAGGAAAGGAAGAGGGAAAGGGAGAGAAAGTCGCGGTGATGGAACGAGCCGGGAACTTTTATGGAGGGGCAGCGAGGGAAATGGCGGGCAGAGTGAAGAGGGGTACTCGCCAATTACACTGATGTAGCGAGATCGGCGGAGCAGACTTTTGCGGCGGGGTCATGGCAATGGTTGGCTCGCTGGGGGCCAAACCGTTGGCGGGGTTATCAACGACCCCTTCACTTCACTGGCTCAGGTCTCTCTATCCCTCTCTGCCTCTCCCTCTTGCTTGGCCCTGCTGTCGTCTTTCTCGTCGTTTCTCTGTGGAGGGGTCCAGCCTGGCAGGCGGTGAATGCGGGCTTTTCCACGGGGGCGGCGGTCTAGTCCCTGAAAGCTCAGATCACCGACCGACCCCAGCGCCCAGTCTGCGGATGGCGTGCTTGCTCTGCTGGGGACTTTCGGGGGTTCAATGGGGGCTCAATGGGGTTTGCTGCTTGATAGCACGACCGGGGCAGTGGGGCTGAGGGTCTAGTCGTGGCTCAAATTGTGGCTCCCCGGAACGACATCGCACGAACGGGGAGTCAGGAACTCGGCCATGACAAGCACCCATCAGTCAACGAGACAGAAAAACTTATCGTTGCCTCAATCCCTCAGTCACATTCAGAGAGCAGCGATGTGCGTGTCCGAGTCAGGTCTCAAACTCGTTGTCATGAGTCAATTGACGGATCACTTCGTAGAGATCTCCTTTTCCCACATTGGGTCGCTAAAAAAATAATAAACACGCCTATATGCGCCCATACGAGTGCTCCAAAAGGGTGGGTCATGTACTTGCCACCACATGCATCTTCTGCAGCTCTCGTTGGCCCGAACTCAACAGCTACTACCTACCTAAAGATTGGAGCTGAGAGTCCGCCACTACCATCGAGCGACTTCAAGCGGCGAGCCAACTTTCCGGCATTCGAAGCCCCAGAAAAAACGACTCTGTCATGAAGAGACATTGCCCTCTGAGGACCTCTGACGTAGATACGAAGGCCCAAAGGCTACTACGGTTTTCATTGTGAGGCGTGGCCTGACATGTTGTCATCCAGCATCTCGAATCTCGACAGATGATACGTTCCTGACGGAATCCAACTCTGGGTCTCAGGCCTAGGCTGGCCTAACGTATAGCTACTGCTGAACAGTGTCCCAATCGGTATCGGCTCGAAGCCTTCGACCACGGCCCGAATCTCCACCGCCACCCATGTCCTAGCACCCGGCTAACAGGACTTGAAGTTGCCTCCCCAAGCCTACTGGTTGGAGACCACTGGCAGCAGCTGTCAATCAAAATTTCTTATATCGTGGACGAGCATAAGCTAGTCTGGGCATCCTGACGACTTCACAGGTCGAAGGAAGAACGGCACGGCCATTGAATGTTGCGGTTGATGATGTTGTCCTACTAGAACAGACAAGGATCCATGACGGATTTAGTCATACGTTGCAAGTGATGCCTGTTCTGAATTGCTGGGCAATTGGACCAGCGAGAGGGTTGGAATATGATCCATTAGGCGATAAGCGGTAACACCGTGGAGAAGAGTTCAACTCGCGTTTACCAAACCTTCGCCTGAGGGGACCTGAGAGACATGTAAACGTCAGTGGTCACAAGGATGCGAATCAAATTTGTTTGAATGGCTTGTTCTAGAGCTCTTCTTAGCTCTTGTACCCAGGTACCACTACACGGCGCGTCCACGCTGATGTATTTCCTCGCCGTCTGGCTGTAGCACACCGGTCGTCCCGCACTGACCGCCCACAGAGCTCTGTGGTACGTAAGGGGTCATACAAGATTAACTTAGGTGTTCTTCCTGGTCCGAAAATATGCATGTGATAGCTGCTATAGATATACTCGCACCAGCGGGATATTATACTCTCGGCAGACTGAAGACTTCAGCGATCAGTGAGTGCAATACAAGAATGGCGAGGTACAGAAAAGAGCGACGGAGATTACAGCGAAGGTCCGGTACAAATTACTCTTTATATGGTGCAGAAACTGGAACCTTCTCGACCCCTCTCAGAGCCTTCCAGATGCTAAGCCCTCGTCCCTGTGGTGCACCTTACGAGCCAACTTTGTGCCATTTTACCGTTGCCTCGGCGCTGCCAACACTCCTGTCGTTGTAGATCCTTCCAGCAAGTTGACCAAGGTGGCTAGTCTGTATATTCTCCCGATGACCTACCTTTTCTGCCTACGTCTGCTGATCGAGAGCATATGTACATTCCTGGCACATTACGGTCTGCCTCGTTCCTGAGGATAGGAGTTCTGCGGTTGTTGAATAAGGCGACGTTCACATGAGCAAGTCCCCCCGGCCACTGAACGACACTAGTGAGTCAAAGTCGACGTATTGCGAGTGCTCGGCACCGATCATTGGGTTCCATCACATGCTAGGGATTCAGAAAAAGGAAAGGCTGTACCGACCAGCATCGGACAACGGGGTGCGCCTCCAGTCGCCAGCATTGAGCAGCCGATTCATCAAATTGCCGTGTTCAGGCTACAACGCTCGGCGCAGCATGGGTAGTGGATTGCTCAGACGGCAATGTTTCTGTTAGCAGCAAGGGTCATGTACGGGGCGGGGCCTAGGTCGATTTGGTCTCCTGCACGAACGCTTTTGCTGGACTGCCTGCAGGATCCTTGTTGGGATGAACCGTCATCGTCAGGCCGACTACCATGACAACTTGAGACCACTCAACATGTCCGTCTGGGTTGGACAAAAGCTGTAGCGAGCATGGAGTGCCGCGTTGCCGGGATCACAGAACGACACCTGCTCTGACCTGCTCGGATTGTGTAGAGCCACGAAGCTCAAAGAACCCTGTCGAGGCGGGCCCTGGTCAGACGCGGAGTTTGTCAATATGCCGGATCCAAGACGGCCTTCTTGACAGCCTGGCCAAGGTGGAAGGGATCGTTGCGCCGCACCCTCGGTTACTCCTCTGTTATGCCTGACGGACTGTCTACGCATGAGAAATGTATGATTTTGCAAATTTCGGGCAACAGATGAGACAGAGCGTCATTGAGGTTGGCTGTTGGTATTTTGCAGGACTTCTCAATCACCACTCGGCGATCATTGGGAGATCATGGACTATTGGCAGCAGGGACAGTGAGACGAGAGACATGCTGTGCTGATTGTAGCTTCGCAGCAGCCCGCAATCCTTGTGTTGGACCGAAATGTCCAAGGACGGGTGTAAACGGAACAGCCGGTAGATCTTGCCTCACCGAGCTTCGTAAGTGAGAAGTTTTTTTGTGACAATTGCGAGTCGTGTCGGGGCACCGGACGTCTTGGCCATTCCTCGGTGACGAAATGAATGATCCTCCATGACTATGCCAAACATGGTCTCGCGAGATGATGTGCGCGATGGTCAGAGGGCCAACAGCAAAGCATGGTGTGACCAGTCTTATGGACGATGGTTGAGGAGGATTCAGACCGACTTCATCCCGATTATTCGTAACTCGCGGTCGAGACAGGCGAACAGCTTTCATCAGTTGGTGTGGGAAAGGCAGCAATGATAGGAACCGCCGTAGGGTCGATTCACGCTTGGTGGGTAGACGGTGAGGCTGATGTGCTCCCCCGTGGCGCACGTCAAGCGTGGCGGGCTGATCGGCACAGGCTCGCAACGTCCCTAAAACCCTTGGCACCGTTACAGCCCAGACAGCCCTCGTGGCCCTCCCATCTCATCTTGGGTTGCATCGTCGACGCCTGCATCGACGGTTCCCTCACTTGCCTCACAGCGCCCACATAGGATCCATCCAGACCCTTGTTGACGACCCTTTCAGCTCTCACCAAGGCACTCCCCCTCGACCTCGCTTGTGTTCTCAATCCTGATCAATGCCATTGATCACTCCCCGCTTCCACGCCCTCGGACCTTCGATCTTCATCCAGCCCGCTCGCACCTGCCACTGAGGTTACAGCAGCCCCGCGGCGGACCGACTCAACCGAACATACAGAGAGGGCCAGAGCAGAAGAATCTGATTGCCTCCGTCAATGCACCATCACAACACTGCATTCCATCATCAAAGTCGTGCCGCAACGGTGCGCCCACGCACGCTGCCCCCGACACGATAACAGCGTCCCCAAGTCCCAAGCACGGGAAACTCCAAGCGGACCCCCATGCCCTAGGACCCCCAGGGTTCTCCCCCAAGCGAGTGGCACCCTTCAGCTCGTCGACGCCTCACGACTCGACACCTTGACTCGATTTGACCAGCATCGTCGGCTGCTTCGCGTGCCGGCGACACACACGCGAGGCCAGTCAGTCGAGCAAAGGCACAGACAGCTATGCAGAGCAAGCCGGGCTCATCAACCACGTCGTATATTCTACCAGCGTTGTACATGTAGTCAGCAGCCCTCTCTCTTGTGCGGCACTAGAACTGATGCGCGCCCCTAGACTTTCCCTAATCCGTCGCTTTCCCGGCGATCTGGCGCGCAGGTGCGGTACCAGCGCGGCCGCGTAACGATGGAGTCTTCTTCTTGGTGCGACAGCCAGCGATGGAGCGACAAGCATGCAACAGCTTCCCGGCCGATAACACGCCAATTAAGCCTGTCACGAACTGCGCCTTCCACCCATTGCTGCCGTCGACGCTGACACCTGAAGCACGCCTGTCTACATCGCCCGTCCTGCCCTGCACAGATGGGCAGCTTGTTTGGGACGCCCCTTTTTGAAACGGCAACATCCCTGTTCAACCCCAACTCCAAGCCGACTCTCACGCCTGGCCCTGGCCCACCCCCTCCCCGCCGTTGACTGCGGCGGCCGATGTCATCGTAGCCTTCGTCTGCCATCGCCCCTCTCTTTACCTGAGAACTCCTTCGACTGGGAGCTGGCTCCGTACAGGGAACCGTTTTGAAACCAGCCAGTACACCGCACAAGTTATCGATGACGACCCTTCGATAAGCATTTGCCCTGTGCCGGCTAAGGCCGCTCGAGGACAGGGATCGATGGTCGCAAACCGTTCCTGCCGTCCACGATGCTACGCCAGTCAAGCCCCCAGACTTGGTAAGCCAAGACCGTCAACCAGACTTGGGGCCAGACACTTTTAATTCATCCTCACCTCGCCTCCTCGCTCGACCCTTTCCCCCCGCGCGTGCGTTTCCTCCGTGCTCTCTGGGAGAGTCAAGTATATGTGTTTACGGCCGGTCCATTTGTTTGCAGTTCACCAACCAACGTTCCGCTGCTCTCTTTGTTTTATCGTTTGTTTGCTATTGTGCTGGTTCGCATTACCGACCTTCTCTCAAGACTCTCACTCTGTTACAGTAAGACCTCATGGCGAGACCCAAGGCAATCTTCCATAATGCGTCCGTATCAACATTGGTGAACCTGTCAGTACCGACCCCCAACATCCCTCTACACTCTCGCCTCGAGCTCATGTTTTACCTTGTAGATCATCAAAGCAAGGCGTGGCACGCGTACTTGTCGGCATTGAACAGAGGGAGTTTCGGGTCAACAAGAAGCTCCTCAGCGCCACGTCCCAGTTCTTCAGAGACCAGCTCGATGCCACCCCCGCCGGCATACTCCAACTCTCACTGGTTCAGAAGTCCGTTCCGGTATGGCTTCCTCAACAGACGTCGTCGACCCCTATTCAACTGCTCGATGAATCCCCTGCCATGTTCGAGCTCTTTACGGTTTGGCTCCATCAGCGCGACGCCTTCCGTCGCCACCTCGACGACATGATTGCGATGGTCAGCGATGCCCCTGAAGAGACCAGCGAGTGCTTCCATTGGGCCCTCGTCAACCTCCACATCTTCGCCGCGAAACACGACCTCGACCAGCTCCAGGATGTGGCCATCGATGCCCTGCAGGACCTGTACCTTCGTTGTGACTGGGACGTCACCCCCGAGTTTGTCACCTTCCTCTTCGGCGAGCGCGGGGCGAGGACCACCATGAGACTCCGACGCTGGGCTACAGCCATGGTTGCGTGGTCCATCGCCGGCGGTCCATGCCACCCGCGGGATCAGGACGCCAACTGCCTCTTCGAGCCTCTGCTCAAACAATTCTCCGACTTCAACGCCGAGTACGTCTTGCACGTCGCCAAGTTAAACAAGGGGAAACTGGACGCCCGAATCAAGAACCCCCAACTGCGGATCCCTGCCAACAAACTCCGTAACGACGAGCGCCAGTTTGGATTCCGTCAATGCTCGTTTCACACGCACCGTGCCGCTGTCGGTGAACGCAGATGCCCGCATGCAGCCACCAGCATGGAGCTCGACAACTATCCCATGCTGGTCCCGCTCATCATCGACATTGTCCCGTACAAGTCTTCGAGATTCATCAAGCACGTCAAGTCACCTTCGTGTCCTGCAGCTCCTCTTCGCCACTATGAATACCCTGCTGAGGTGCCGCGGCCGCTCCAGGCAGCCAGACCCCTGGCCAACGCAGCCGTGGCTGGGTAAACCACCACTGAATCCCCCCCCAGTCGGATTGATTCTTGACATGGGGTATGAATATTCTTCACTTCTACAGACCGAGCCCGTCCCTGCAGCCCTGGGGACCTGGGTTGACCACCGTCACCGCCCGACGCCACCCCTCCGCAAAAGCCTGTTGGGGTCGACTCGACATCCAGTGAGAGTCTCAAGTGCACAGCACACAGACCCAGCATAACGCCCAGGCCGCTTTCAGTGTCTGCTCGCTGTCGAAAAGTCTACAGTCCCGTCGTCTCGTTTTCCGAACGAGTGACCAAGCTGTGGCCCCTTTGAGGCCTGGGTTAGTCGCTTATCGGCTTAGCGCGCCTAGTCCTTCAAACACCAGATCCGTGGTTACCGGACTGGAAAGGGGTCACTGCCCGCAGAGTATGGGAACGTAGCGCACTGGGCACCTGTGCGTCGTTCAATCGCGGCTACGTCAAGCGGTGCACGGGGTATCTCGTTCTGCGAAACTCCGGCCCTCTGGCATTAGGAGCTCGTTGTGGGCTTAGTCGCAACGAGACGCCCGAGCTCGAGGCGCACCGCGTTGGGCGCACGGTGAGGGATGACGGCTCTTGCCGAGAGAGGATCGCCGACCATGGCTGCGCCGTGTCGAGATGCTCCTCGCCGCCGACCGGATCGGGCAGCACATCCTCACGAGGGTACCGAACGGCTTGCGAGACGGAGGCTCGAATGGTCATGTTTATCTTTTGCTGTAATTTTTTATTTCCCCCCTTGCGGAAAAACCCCACAAACATGCAAACAAACAGATATTTACTTAGTAGCAAGAATCAAACAAAGCTGGCCTTGACAATTTGATGACCCTCGAGCGAACGTGTGAGCTGCTGCTTCCTCTGTCGGTACTAGACATATGGCGTTGGTAACTGGGGTACGACACAGACACGTCGATCACAGACACGGCCGGTCTTTAGGAAAAAGTCCGGCGCCATGCGCTCGATCAGCCGCGTACCTGCATGCCGGACTTCTCCTTTGAGACCTCCGAGGTCGAAGCCCGTCCACGCCGATGGCGTCGTCCATGTGCCTTGGAGATTCACGCGCGCGGGGGCCGTCACTCTGATTTCGGAGCAGCCCGGCTGAGCGCCGGAGAAGCAAGTCAAAAGTCCTGTTCAACACCACACCTGACTGCGACGCAATTCTCCTTTGCTTCGTGCATACCCGCCCGCCCGAGATGCAAGCCCCATGACCACGAACAACCCTCCGAGCTCTAAAAAAAAGCCCCAATCAAGTGACGCCTCCTTCCAAATGAAGAAGATGGAAGGCCAGAAACGAAGGGGGTCCGCGACCAGACCAGACCATTCCTTCCAGGAACAAGGCCGTGGTCGTGCCCCGGCCATGAAACACCCGTCCCGTCCGCATCCCCCCCAAAGGCACACCGCACGTCCCCTGCTGGATCTCCGCCCGTCGGAGGAATACCATAAACGAAAAGGGGAAAAGAGAAAAACAAAGGCTCGAAGAAACAAAGAAAGAAGCCCGAATCTATTTGCATCGTCCCCGTGGGCCAGCACCGTGGCTAGGGAGTCGGGAATCGCATGGATGAAGAAACATGCTGTTTCAGAGCCGGGGTGATCTTTCTCAGAATAAACAAAAAGAAGCCCGCTACCCTCCCTCCGCCCGAGATCAGATGAAGCGACTCCGGTGCTGCTGGCCTTGCTTCTGTTGCTTCGCCTGAAAAAAGACGGGCGAGAGCCAAAAACAGGGACTGTGCGGATTTCATCACCTTGCCGTTCAGCTCGTGAAAAGGTCACATTTAGATCAAACAAAAACGGTCACGGCGGGACGGCGGTCAGGGTCCATCAGCGTGTGGGAGAACATTTCGATTGGGTTCATCTAGTCGTCGCTCGCTCGTGGAGGTGGCACAGGGCTCGTGCCATGGTCCCCTTCATCGCCTCGTATCCCCCGCCCCGGGTCGTCAAGCTCCCGTCTCCGCGCTGAGACGGAAACAAGAGACTTATCGCCGTCAGGGTCGGCGCCCATCATGCCCTGGTATTCGTGTCGTCATATCATTCATTCGTTCCCGTTTCATCAAGAGAGGCGCAGTATCCTCCACGGGTCCTGCCAAAAAGAGAGAGAAAAAAAAGGAAGCAGCCATCGACAAGCAGAAAGCCAGGGGTGAATACGAAAGGAAAGACACATGCCGTAACACCGACATGGGCTGCCTGCGTTTGTCTCGACCCCGAATTATGTGAAGTCAGAAAATGTGATGCAGAATCGAAAAGATCAAGACTAAAGCGGGGAAAAAAATAGGCTCGGAGCCAGGAGAAGTGAAGAATTGACACGAAAAAAAGTCATAAAGCATCGCAAACAGTACTGTCGTCCGCATGCCCAATCATGGAACGCGTGTAGCCAAAGCGGCAGACCCATCGTGTGTCGAAAAAATCAAATGATTCGCTTCGCATCAGATCATGACAAGATATGATAGGACACGATGCGCATGTGTTTAAGAATGTCATATGCAAACATGCCTTCAAAATGGCGACTCGGATCGACGGCGGCTATCGCGTCGTCGGAACTCCCTAAGGCGCTCATCAAGATAGGCCAGGCGGCCGACCAAGCCACGTGGTGGCGTCGTGTTGGGGGCTTCTCGTGGCTGTTGTAGCGTTGCGTAGGGCTTGGAAGCAGCCGCGGCGGTCCGCTCGTCCGGCTTGGTGTACCGGTTAGGAAAAGAAAAGCTCGAGGACGATGTTGTGAATGGTGAGCCGAGGCGAGCTGGTGCATTCGAGGCAGCAGTAAGTCCCCTTTGGAATTGGGGTTGAGGCGGCGGCAGCGACCCGTTCACTCCGAGCGATACGGGAAACAGCTCAGCCAAGTTGGTCCGCGGTACAAACAGCTTATCGAGCTTGTGGCTATCGGTCGAGCTGTAGGCAACCTTGTCGACGAGCGGCCCCGTTGGTTGTGTCCAAAAGTCGGAGGCAAGACTGGGTCGCTTCGTCTTGCGGGGCTCGACTGATGACTGGCGGGACCTGCGCTTCTGCGTGTTGGATCGGCTACGGGCCAGCTTGACGGGTGACTGCAGACCGCGGCGGGGCCCGCACGTGCTGCTTTGCCTGGCTGGGCCCTGGTCGGCAACAGCAACACCCATGGGGTTCGACGAGCTTGGCCCGTAGCTTTGCGTGGTGAATGGAGATGCCAGCCGGCGGCGTCCGATGGTGGGTATATCTGGCACTTCTGATTTCGGCTCGGGCGTGGACGCGGCTGGCGGCGTAACGGGTTCCGGTGTCGACCGTGTCAATTGGGCCAGCGGGCCCCGGGGCTGCATCGACGCAGCCGTGCTCAGCGTGAGGGACATGACCATGTCCCTCGAGGAGAAGGCAGAGGGGGTCGGTGTCGAGCGACGGTTCCAGAACCTGGTGGCCGTGCGGCCAAAGGGGGTCGGGCTATGCTTGATGTACTGACTGGCGCGCATGCCATGTGACGAGGCCTTGAGCTTGCAGAGCTCCCGTAAGTGAGCGCGCGTAGCGGCGTAGGTGTGCGGCCACTGCAGATAGGTACTGGTATCGGGGGTTGGCGTGTGGGTGTCGGCGCCGCTCTTCGGCCTCGGCCCACGCCAACTCCTCTTCGTCTCACGGGCCACACGAGCGCAGACACCTTGTGGAGGGACGCCAGACTTGCTGTTGCGGACGGGGGTGATGCTTGGGTCCTGCAGATAGGTGAGATAGGTCGACCACAGATGATCGCTCATTGGTCTGGTCCAGGCCGCCTTCCTCATCTTGGCTGCTTTGGATGTCGTTTGCGAGTAGGCGTTGGCTGACTTGCTGGGCTCCTCAAAGTGATATCGGAAGCCGAGGTCGTTTGGATCTACGACCGAGGCACACTGGAGCTCGTCAGAGGTGATGGAGTAGCGGCTGAAAAGCGAGGCACTGGTGTGTGTAGACCGCGCTGTGGAGGGACGACTCGACTCCCACTCGGCCGAGGAGTCATCGCCGTCCTCGTCCTCCTCGCTGGTGACGGCCGAGTCCCTCGACCAGTTGGGGTACCGCCTCGGGGAGAGAGACGGGGCGTAGCCGGGTGCCGGGGTCTTGGGGGGCGAAAATGTCCTCCCTCGAATGCTGTTCCCCATGTCGAGATCGTCAAGACACCTCGTGTTGGCGAAATCCGAATACGTCATGCCCGTCATGTTCTCGTCGGACGCCATCGTAGCGCTCTCTTCGATGCTGGGGATAGGCACGTCGGCAGCGGCGACCGATGCCAGAAACTGTTGGGTCGGGGCGTTGAAGCTGGACACGACACGCCTCTTAAGCTTGAATCTGGGCCGAGGTGGCGACGGTGGCTGCAGCATGCTGCCGTCGAGGCTCTGGTCGCGGTCGGCGTCGGCGGTGGCGGGGAGGGGTTCTGGTGTCTTGGGCTCGGCAGAGTCGGTGTCGTGGTAGCGGAACCCCTTGGGGAGCGTGGCAGCTCCGGAATGTGAAGAGGCCATGATGGCTGAAGGGGGGGTTGCGCTCGGCGGCGCGGGGGGGACCTTTTGTCGGAATGTTGCGCCCTGCAGGTCTCAGATGAATGCCGAATGACTGATTTTGCGTGGCTCGTGCTTTGCGCAAGCCTTTGGAGGGTTGCGCGCAAAAGGTTGATCGATGCGACAAGTCGTCGCAAGGAGCGGGCGCGGGTCTGGCTCTGATAAGTCGCGCGTGCCGTTTGGATTATGGGGCGACGGCGTCTTCAAGAGGGACTCGAGGGTCTCATAATAATACTGGGTTCGTAGTCGTAAGGTCGTATGACGGGTCGGAGGTTTCGACTGTCGTGGTTCGTGGAGAGGGGTGGGTAAAAAAGGAAAATGCTGGCTGAAGCGTGGCGTCCGTGTTGTTATGTTTTGGATTGTTGACTTTGGGCGATCGGATGTTTTGCGCCGTAGCCTAGGAGATGGAAGTGGACGTTTGAATTTGCCCCTCGTAAATTTGTTTCTTTTGAACGACCGGCGATGGAGGCCGCGAGCGACGGCGGGAAAAAGAATGTCTGCGGTAAGAAGGAGATGTAGG